TTATTAGTTGTTGATGAAATTTTTTATTTTATTTATTTGTATGTGGTGCTGAGAATCAAACCCAGTGCCTCACATAGGATTTGGTGTTTTCTAATACTGGTTACAAATGAAAATTACTAGGAGGTTTTGAACCCAGAGAAGTTTTGATTGCTCTGGGGTGGGTACTTCCAGCAATTCAAATGCCAAGCCACGGTTGAGAATCACCATTCTTTCTTAGGGGGTAAGGTGGGAGAACCAGGGATTGAATTCAGGTGCACTCAGCCACATATCCCCAGCCCTATTTTTTTGCATTTTATTTAGAGACAGGGTCTCACTGAGTTGCTTAGCACCTCCCTTTTGCTGAGGCTGGCTTTGAACTCGCGATCCTCCTGCCTCAGCCTCCAGAGCCACTGGGATTCCAAGCATGGCCACCACGCCTGGCTGGGAATCACCACTCTTTAATTTCTCAGCTTGCTGCTCCCAGCTCCAGACTGAATCCTCCCTCCTCCCCACCCCACAATCATTTTTTTTTAATACCTTTATTTTTATTTATTTATTTTTATGTGACGTCGAGGATGGCACCCAGTGCCCCAGTACTAGGCAAGCGCTCTGCCCGGAGCCACCACCCGGGCGGCCTTTGTGTCCTGGCCTCCCCGTGTCCATCATCCCCACGGTGGAGAAGGAGGCAGGCAGTGTGCTCTCTGCAGCACCGGCAGGACCTGGAGCCCGGCGTGTTGTTTGTCTCCGCAGGAGGCCTCGGCATGAAGCAGCAGCAGTGGTGCGGGCTGACGGCCAAAATGGGCACCGTGCTGTCGGGGGTCTTCACCATCCTGGCCACCAACATGTACCTCATCTTCGAGCGGAAGCACCTGGGGCACAGCAACTGCTCCGAGATCAGCCTTCAGGAGGAGGGCCCCAACCCCGCGAGGCAGTTCCTCATCTGCTGGAGCTACACGACCGTGCTGTGCCTGTCCGCGGTCACCATCGTCCTCAGCTGCCTCCTGCTGTACGCCGTGTACGCGCAGATCTACAGCGGGCTGCTGGTCTACGGGGTCTGGATCCTCTTCTACGAGGCCGTCAACCTGGTGGTCCAGGTCTTCACCAACAAGTTCAGCTCCGCCGAGGTGCGCGCCATGCGCTGGCTGGGCTTCGTGCTGCGGACCCTCCTGCACTGCTACGGGCTGTTCTTCGTCATCATCTACGCCCACATCATCTACAAGAGCCAGAACCAGGGGAACATCGTCTTCTACAACAGGCGCGTTTCCATGGGCGGCGGAGAGACTCCTCGGCAGAAGTCAAAGATCCTGAGCTTTGTCCACCACTATAAAGAATGACCTGGGCGCCTTTCTTTCCCCAAGAGGCAGGTCTCTCCGGTTCTTAGGGTAGCCCCTTTCTTGCTCTCTCCCCGCGCCCCTTTGGCTGAGCAGTTTGGCAAGTGCAGACCCCACGGCCACTCTTCCAGGGGAATGTGGAGAGATGAAGTGATTCTGATCATAAACGACATATCCTGCTCCTTGAGGGCATTTATTGAGTTCAGGGGCCTAATGATTGATCAAACCTTCCTTGAATTCTGCCTTCCTTTTCTGTTGTAGTCAAAATCAAAATGAAAAAGTACAGAAATGAAGCTGATTTGCTGAACAGCCGGCTCTATTTTGGTATGTCTTCATTCCTCTTCAACCCACAGCTCTTTTAATGTGATCTCAGGCTAGCCTCATCTGTATTTAGACTCAGATTGTTGTAGCACAAAGGATACTGTTGGCCTTGGGGTGGATTTGTGCTATGGTTTCCCCCTCTGTCTTCTGTACTATATTCCAGATAAGTAAGACAATAAAAATAGAGGAGAATCATTCTTCAATCTGTCTTGAATTCTTTCCCTCCTTTGGCATTCAAGAAGCACTAAAGGGACTTGATTACAAGAGGTAAATTTGTGAGACACGATGGCTACTCAGTGAAGCTAAGGCAGGAGGATCACAAATTGAAGGCCAACCTCTGCAACTGAGCAAAGCCCTGTCTCAAAATTTTTAAAAAATTAAGAGACTGGGGACATAGCTCAGTGGTAGAGCACTCCTGCGTTCAATCCCCAGTACTGGAATAAAAAATTAAAAGGTGATTAAATTTATTTCTATGACTATCCCTGTGCTGTACACTGTGGGGGTTACCAAAAAGTATAAGATGTGTAGCCTGACCTTCAGGATTTTGTAGCTTTATGGAAGAGACTAATTTACTACTTATGAATCAATTAGCCAATCATATCATAAAATGTACTGTTGCAGATCAACAAACTCTCCCCCTCAAAAAAATAAACATGGCGGTCTGCAACTCAAGTGCACTCCGTCACACACACACAAAAGCCTATAATTGGACAAATGTTGGCATATGTACATCCCATGAAAAACCATCACCAAGATCAGGTTCATGAGCAGACATCATCCTAAACTTCCCTGTAATCCCTGTCTTCCAACTCTCTTTATTTACTTTTTTTTTTTTTTTTTTTGGGGGGGGGGGGTACTGGGGATTGAACTCAGGGGCAATTAACCACTGAGCCCCATCCCCAGCCCTATTTTGAATTTTATTTAGAGACAGGGTCTCACTGAGTTGCTTAGTGCCTCCCTTTTGCTGAGGCTGGCTTTGAACTTGTGATCCTCCTGCCTCAGCCTCCTGAGCTGCTGGGATTACAGGTGTGTGCCAACATGCCTGGCTTGTTGTTTAGTTGTTTTTTTTTTTTAATTTTTTACTTTTATTTTTATTTTTTAAAATATTTATTTTTTTAGTTGGACACAATAGTTTTATTTTGTTTATTTGTATGTGGTGTTGAGGATGGAGCCCAAGGCCTCGAACGTGCTAGGCAAGTGCTCTACCGCTGAGCCACAACCCCAGCCCTATTTTTTTTTTATTTTTAAGTAATCATGAATAAGAACAACTTAAATATTTGTGTGCAGGTTTATATGGATTTATGCTTTCATTCACCTTCAGTAAATACCATTTTCCTTTTTTTTTTTTTTTTAAAAAAGAGGGGAGAGAGAGAGAGAGAGAATTTTTTTTAATATTTATTTTTCAGTTCTCGGCAGACACAACATCTTTGTTTGTATGTGGTGCTGAGGATCGAACCCCGGCCGCACGCATGGCAGGCGAGCGCGCTACCGCTTGAGCCACATCCCCAGCCCACCATTTTCCCTTTTTAAGAAACTTCTTTTTCTTCCCAGAGTGCCCGTCCCATTTAAATTCCCTCTCTGGTCCATGAGAGTTCCTGTCCCTCCACATCTTCCCCAGTGTTTAACATGGGCAGGAATTTTTTATCCAAGCCATTCTAGTAGGTATATAAGAGTATTTCATTGCAACTTTAATTTAAATTTCCCTGATAGCAAACGATGTTGAGCATTTCTTCATGCACTGATTTAGCACTTTTATATCTTCTTAGGCAATGTGTCTGTTCAAATCTTTTGCCGATTAAAAAAGTGTTGTGAAGCACAGGATTTGATTCTGAGCACCACATAAAAATAAATGAATAAAATCAAGGTCCATCAACATCTTAAACAACAGTAAAAAAAAAAAATGTTGTTAGGCAGACAGTGATACAAGCCTGTAAATCCCAGTGACTTGGGAGGATGAGGCAGGAGGATCACAAGTTCAAAGCAGGCCTCGGCAACTCAGCAAGGCCCTAAGCAATTTAGCAAGATCCTATGCTAAATAAAATATAAAAAGGGCTGGGGATGTGGCTCAGTGGTTAAGAACCTGGGTTCAATCCCTGGTACCAAAAAAAAAAAAAAGGAGGAGAAAACCTGATACAGAGTTATTTGAAATGAACAGAAATTTGTTGACTGGGAAGTGTAGGAATGAGGGCCCAGCAACTGGAAAAGGCCTTGCTGTGTCAAAACATGACGAAAGGCCTCACGATGCAAATGGGCAAAAAAAGGGAGGGAGTACCGGTCAGCAAGCCCCTCCCACAGTTCCAGCCCGAGGCCACTCATGAGGGGAGCTCTTGTGACCCTCAAAGCTCCCAGCTTACACACTTTTTCATGACGGCAATTAAATTGCAACCTGGGTTTTGGAGGGGCAGACATTCCAACAACAGCACACACCAATTACATTTCCATAGGAACTTTAGAATCAGCTTGAAGTTTCTATTTTTAAAAAGCCTGCTGGAATAAATTAAAAAAAAAAAAAAAAAAGCCCTCTGGGATGTTGAGAAGGATGGCACCGGATCCATAGATGGATTTAGGGAGAATTGAAATCTTGATTTCAAATCTTGATGTTTTCAATTCTAATACATGAGAATGATATCACCTCCCCATTTATTCAAGTCTTTAATTCCTCTCAGTAATGTTTTATAGCTTTCAACATTCCAGTCTTCATGATCATTGTCAGATTTATTTTATATTTTATTATTTTTTCTTCTCTTTTCTCTCTCTCTCTCTTTCTTTTCTTAGTGGCACTAGGGATTGAACCCCAGGTGCTTCACCACTGAGCAACATCTGCAGCCCTTTTAATTTTATACTTTGAAACATGGTCTTGCTAAATTGCCAAGGCTGGTCTTGAACCTGGATCCCCAGCCTCCTGAGTTGCTGGAATTACAGGTGTGTGCCACAGCACCCGTCTCCATCATTGATTTCTAATGTAATTTCAATATGAGCAGAGAACATACATTTTTCATTTTTAAATTTATTGAGGCTAGTTTTTCGGTTTTGTTTTTCAGTGCTGAGGATTGAACCCAGGGCCTTGCACATGCTAGGCAAGCAGTCTACCACTGAGCCATACACCCAACCCCAAGACTAGTTTTATGACATTTAATCTTGATAAATGTTCTGTGTGAACCTGGAAAGAATATTCTACTATTGTTAGATGCAGTGTTCCATAATGTGAATTAGATCAAATTGGTTGATAATATTGTTCAAATCTTGTAATGTCTTTCCTAATTTTCTGCCAGCTTCTTTTTTTTAATTTTTAATTTAATTTTATTTTTAATTATAGATGGACAAAATACCTTTATTTTATTTATTTATTTTTATTTAGTTCTGAGGATTGAACCCAGTGCCTCACACATGCTAGGCAAGGACTCTACCACTGAGCTATAAACCCAGCCCCTTCTGTCTACTTCTATCAGTTAGTCAAAAAGAAGTATTAAGGTCTCTGAATATAATCATGGATTTGCTTATTTCCTTTTGCAACTAGCAGCCTATTCTTTGTGTATTTTGAAGTGTAAATGGGTACATTAATGTTTAGAGTATTTCTATCTTTTTGATATAACAAAAAAATAAGCCCTTTATTATTTAAATTGACTTTTTTGGAGAGGAGGTGCCAGGGATTGAACCCAGGAGGATTCTACCTTTAAACTATATCCCCATCCCCTGGCCTCAAACTTGGGATCCTCCTGCCTTACCCTCCTGAATAGCTGGGATTAAAGTCTGTGCCACTGCACTTGGTTGAAGTGACATTCTTTACTCTGGGAATACACTTTGCCCTACAGTTTATTTTGTCTGGTATTAATGCATCCAGTCCATTCTTCTTTTGATTTGTGTTAACAAATTTATCTATTTTTTTTTACTTCTAACTTATTTGTGTCTTTATATTTAAAAGATGCTTATTGTGCAGAGGTGTGACTCAGCGGTAATGCACATGCCTAGCATTTGCACAAGGTTCTGCTTTCAATCTCTACTACTGAAATGAAAAAATTAACTAATTTTTTTTTTAAAGAGGGAGAGAGAGAGAATTTTTTAATATTTATTTATTTAATTATTTTTAGTTATTGGCGGACACAACATCTTTGTGTGTATGTGGTGCTGAGGATCGAACCCGGGCCGCATGCATGCCAGGCGAGCGTGCTACCGCTTGAGCCACATCCCCAGCCCAAAAATTAACTAATTGACTTTTAACATATGCCTAGTATAAGCAGTATATAATCAGGACTTGCTTTTTTACTTTTAAAATCTAATCTGGGGGCTGGGGATGTGGCTCAAGCGTGCTCGCCTGGCATGCATGCGGCCTGGGTTCGATCCTTAGCACCACATACAAACAAAGATGTTGTGTCCGCCGAAAACTAAAAAATAAATATTAAAAAATTTAAAAAAAAAGTAAAATAAAATCTAATCTGGGCTGGGGATATAGCTCAGCTGATAGAGTGCTTGCCTCGCATGTACAAGGCCCTGGATTCGATCCCCAACACCAAAAAAAAAAAAATAAAATAAAATATAATCTGACAACCACTGGCTTTTAATTTGGGTATTTAAACCATTTACATTTAATGGCTATCTTGTTATTTGTTTTATATTTGCTTTATCTGTTCATTTATTTTTACTCATTTTCTGTCTTCTTTTGTATTAATTTAATACTTCTTATGGTTCTATTTTATCTTTTTTACTTTATGGAATATAATTATTTTTATGTTCTTTTAGGTTTTTTTGGTGGGGTGGGGATACCAAGGATTGAATTCAGGGGCACTTGACTACTAAGCCACATCCCCAGCCCTATTCTGTGTTTCATTTAGAGACAAGGTCTCAGTGAGTTGCTTAGCACCTTGCTTTTGTTAAGGCTGGCTTTGAACTCGTGATCCTCCTGCCTCAGCTTCCTGAGCCACTGGGATTACAGGCATGCACCACTGTGCCAGACTTATTTTAGTATTTGATTTAAGGTTTGTGGTATACATATGTAACTCATCACATTCTACCTTTAAGTAATATTATGCTACTCCACATCTAATATAAGAACCTTATGGTAGTACAATAGTATGCTTCCTTTTCTTTTCTCTTTTTTTTTTTGTAATTATTCATTTATTTTCAGTACTAGATATCAAATCCAGGACGCTGCAAATGCTAGGCAAGGATTCTACCACTGGAAAACGTCTCTAACCCTTTTCTTTTTATTGTCAAACAAGGTCTCATTATACTGCCCTGGCTGACCTTGAACTTGAGATTCTCCTACCTCTGCCTCCTGAGTAGTTGGGATTATAGGCGTGGACCACCATGCCCAGTTGGTATAGTGTTTTAAAGGTGCATCCAAGTTATTCCTGCACTTAATTTCCCACCATCCTCCTGACCCTGCATGACTTCAGATACACAGGCCTCTCACTGTACCCCAGATCTGGAGGAGCCCAGGGCAGGCAGAAGAGGCAATGCGTTAGCTGTTTATAGCTGAATTGATACCTCCCTGCCCCCACCAATCATGCCTCATATCTGTCCTGCTTAAAACAGCAGCTTCCAGAGAAACAGATGGAGTATTGGCCTGATCTCTCCAAAAATTGAGCCCCATACCCCAGTGTCACTTCTTTGCTTTATGCCTATGTTGTAAGTTTCAAGGCGATGCTTTTATAAATCACTTCAGTTCCATAGCCCTACTGTCCCAGCCTTGTTCTCTGCCCTCAACACCTCCCTCCTGGGACACTGTAATAACTGCCAAGCTTCTTTCTCTGCCTTCTGCAGATTTTCTCTGGTGCATTCTATTCATTCAACTTTCACTCAGCAAACATCTAATGAGTACCTACTGGGTGCCAGAGACCTAGCGTGGCACTGCAGATACATAGGCAAACACACCAGTGTGGAAGCCAGACAAATAAAAGAATGAATAAATAAGATACTTTTAAAAATTAAGGAAAAGAAAAAAAAAAACCTTCTAATGCAGTGTGATAAATGCTGTGGAGGATGAGGTGGTCTAGTAGTGTTATCAAGATTTAACAAAGAGCCAGACGCAATGGCACATGCCTGTAATCTCAGCAGCTCAGGAGGCTGAGACAGGAGGATCGCAAGTTCAAAGCCAGCCTCAGCAACAGCAAGGCCCTAAGCAACTCAGTGAGACCCTGGGGACGTGACTCAGTGGTTGAGTGTCCCTGAGTTCAATCCTCAGTACCACCCCAAGAAAAACAAAGATTTAACAAGGAACGGGGTGCCCCATATGTCATCTCAGTTACTCAGGAGGCTAAGGCAGGAGAATCCCAAGTTTGAGGCCAGTCTGGGCAACTGAGCGAGACCTTGTCTCAAAATAAAAAGATCTTGCTCTCCCTCCCCACAGCCTTCCCTCTCTCCCCTTCCTGGCTGTCATGAACTGAGCAGCTTTGCTCTGCCACACCCTCCCATCACGATGCTCTTCCTCAACTTGGGTCTCGAGCTATGCAGCTGGCCCACCATGAGCCAAAATAAACTTGTCCTTCTCTAAAAAAAAAATAAATAAATGAAATAAAAAGCTGGAATACTGCTCAGTGGTGGAACACTTTCCTAGCACGTGCAAGACCCTGGATTTGATCCTCAGAACTGCAAAACAAACACACACACACAAACAAAATTTTAAAAACCAACCAAAAAAGAAGAAGAAGGAGAAGATGGAAGAAGATAGACAATGTTGCAGCCCAGGCCAAGGCTGGACGTTTGGATGCTCCCTAAGTCACGTGTGTGAACCCCTGTTCAGAAACTGTAGAATCTGGAGTCTGATGTCCGCAGGCAACAGCAAAGAATGCACCCATCCAAGAAGAACTGAGCCAGGTGCAGTACACACCTGGAATCTCAGCAGCTCGGGAGGCTGAGACTGCAAGTTCAAAGTCAGCCTCAGCCACTGAGCAAGGCCCTAAGCAACTTAGCCAGACGCTGTCTCTAAATAAAATATTAAAAAAGGGCTGGGGATGTGGCTCAGTGGTTAAGTGGCCCTGGGTTCAATCCCCAGCACAAAAAAAAAAAAAAAAAGAAGAAGAATTGAACTTGCCTACCTGCAGAGGAGATACCCCTTCTCTCACGTTTTGTTCCCTATGGGTCCCCAGCCTATTGGCTGGTATTGCCCATATTTAGGATAGGTCTCCCCCACCCTCAGTTTGTAGACTCACAGGAAGGTACACACACACACACACACACACACACACACACATACACGCTCCAGAAGTGCTCTTTACAAATTTTCTAAATGTCTCTCAACCTGGTCAAGTTGACAGACAAGGTTAACTATCCACCATGGAAACTTGTCAGTCAGAGAATAAGTGTGTGTTCCCCTCGTGTGTGATTGTGCCCCTTCCTTTTCCCTCACACAGTAGCTCACGAGGTGCTGAATGGAGAGGAGAGAGGCTTTCTGGGGAGCCTTCTGCACTGGGAAGTGTAAGGAGGAGATCCGGAGTGTAGAGGGACATTTTGGTGGAGGTCCAGCCAACCCCAACCTTGGATCCTGTGTTATAAACGTTCAGCAAAGTCTGCCTGGCTCTGGGTATCTCCACCCTGGCTGGAGCCAACCTGTGGAGTTGAGATCTAACCAAGGTTGCAGCTGGAGGCCTGTCTGCTGGGCTCGCCTGGGTACCATCTTGGCCTGAATAGTAAGTCTTGCATTCATAAACCTTCCCCCATGCCACCCACTGCTGGCCCAACCCTGTGACTTGGGACAAGACCGAGGCACTCCCAGGGAACAAAACAGGACAATTCCATTTCTAAGAGTTTGGAAGGAAAGATGGGGAGGGTTAGGGGGATGATCCCAAGCTCTAAGGAGGCAGAAGAGCTTCCTTTCTTGGGGAAAACAAATTCACCGGAAGGGAGCCCTGAAATCCATCCCATCATTATTCCAGATAAAGGAGCTTCCTAAGGCCCACAAGCCTGGAGCAATAAGAGCAGGGTTTTGTGGGTGTTTTTTTTTTTTTTTTTTTTTTTTTTTCATCTTAAAGTAAAGCTGGAGTTGGGGCAGCAGAGTTGGAAGCTAAAGCTACCTTCGGATCACCCCAGGCCAGTGGTGCTTTCATTTCCCAGTGATGTGGTTCCCACAGCTGACTTGGTTACAGCAGGGATCACACCCATGTCCCTTGACCTCCATCTCATGGCTTGTCCACACAGCAGCATTGCTGTCCCCAACCCTAGTGGCCTGGGGCATTAAACTCAGGCAAGCTGTGCTATCTTGTCATGTGTCCCCATATATATATTTTTTTCCTCTGCAGGCAATACTCCCATGACCCTGGTATACAATGGATGTCAGGATGTTGTCCTTCCTGGTGGGCCTCTTCTCTGTCTTCAACACCGTCCAGTTCATCATCTTTGACCTGAACCAGATGACATACATCGGCTACCAAGACAAGTACAACATCTACAAGACCACCGACTCCCAGCTGGGCTCTTGGGTCATGAGAAACAGGCGGGTCATCAACATGGTCCTGTCCTTGGTCACTCTGGGCGTCAGCTGCTTCCTCCTCTACTGCCTCCACAACAACACCTACACCGGGCTGCCCATCTACGCCGTGTGGATCGTCGCCTACGAGTGCATCCACCTCTCCATCGCCCTGTTCATCCACCGGATCATCAAAAAACAGTTCAGGGAGCTGAGCCACTTGTACTTGATCTTTCAAGTCTCGAGAATGTTCCTGCACTTCTTGGGTCTGCCCTGCCTTGCCAAGCATGGCTATTCTGTCTACAAGGACTCCTCCATCTCGGGCAAGTTAAGCCGCCGCAGGCGCTCCTCGGTCAGCACCATGGACTCGTGGTCCCCGGTCGGACCGGGAATGCTGTACCGCAAGTCAAACTAAGCCACGCCAGGAGCATGCGTTCCAAAGATGCTGCTTGCTCTTTCAGAGTTTTGGGGGTTTATGCATTGAGGAAGGAGAGTTCCTGGGGGAGGGAACTGCATGGGCCAATTTCTGGGCCTGTGAGGAAGGGCCACTTGTTTTAGCAGGAGTGATGTATTACCTTCCAGCTGACTTCACCATGGCATCGATGTGTGTTTCTGTCTCCTAGTCCCCTCTGCTCTCTTAGCTTCTAATTTCTCTGTTGTGGATGATCCAATGGATATATGGTTCTCCTGAGCCCTTTTGAAGCAGCACTGGCCAATAGATCTTTCTGGGCTGGTGGAAGTGCCCTTTATCTGTACTGTCCACTAGCCACAGGCACTTAGGGTGTGGCTCTTATAACCCGGCAATAAATTTTTAAATTTTTATTCCATTTTAATTAATTCCAATTTCAATAGTCACCTGTGGTGGCTCGTGGCTCCTCTAATTGGAGAGCGTGGTGAACTGGAGACTCAGTTTGCTTCTAGCCATAGAAAGGACCGACCACTGCCGGCTTCCTATATCCCTCTCCTCCTCTCAGACTTTTCAGAAAGTAAAGTTTATCATGTTGGTTCATCACAACATGATGAAGAAGAATCCCCTCTTAAAGAAGCTCCAGTCTGGTGCGGTGGCGCACACCTGTAATCCCAGTGACTCAGGAGGTTGAGACAAGAGGATCACAAGTTCAAGTCCAGCTTCAGTAACTTAGCGAGACTCTGTCTCTAAATAAAAAATAAAAAGGGCTGGGGTACAGATCAGTACTAAAGTGCATCTGGGGTCAGTCCTCAGTACCAAAAAAAAAAATTATATATATATATATATATCTCCAGACATTGCCAAATGTCCCTGAAGAACAAAATTGCCTCTGGTTGAGAACTACTAATTTAAAGAAATGCACCCCCAGCTGGGTGCAGTGGTGCATACCTGTAATCCCAACGGTTTAGGAGGCTGAAGCAGGAGGATGGAGAGTTCAAAGTCAGCCTCAGCAACAGCAAGGCACTAAGCAACTCAGTAAGACCCTGTCTCTAAATAAAATACAAAAAAACAGGATAGGGATGTGACTCAGTGGTTGAGTGCCCCTGAGTACAAAAAAAAAGAAAAGGAAGAAAGAAAGAAAGAAAAGCACCCCAGAGCTGAGAGCTGATAGGTCACACTCTTACTAAAGGAGAGCCCCTTTCCCTGAGAGCGTCTTACATTCAACCACCTGTGCAATGTTTTGTTGCTGTTTTGTTTTCTTTTTTGGGACTGGGGACTGAACCCAGGAACCCAGAACACTTCACCACTGAGCCACCTCCCGAGTCTTTACTATTGCTTATTTTTTACTTTGAGACAGGGTTTTACTAAGTGGCTTAGGGTCTCCCTAAATTGCCGAGGCTGGCCTGGAACTTATGATCCTCCTGCCTCAGCCCCCTGAGTTGCTGGATGACAGGTGTGTGCCACTGCACCCAGCCCAGCACTCCAACTTTTACCAAAGTAAAAGGAGGGACCTTGAGGTGTCTGTGTAGCTCATTTACCTAGCACACATGAGGTCCTGCTTCCAATCCCCAGCACGGGGTGGGGGGTGGGCTTCTTTTAGGATATTTCCTTTGTCCTCAAAAAATGTTGAGAATGAAGTCAAGGGATGCTGTTTTGACTGCAGTTTTCCAAACCATGATCATCATGATAGTATCTCACTTTTACTGAACATTTATTTAATAACTGCAGGTACTGTTCTAACAATTCCCCACCTCCTTCGACTTGTAAAAGATGCATTTGGACCTAAGGCAGTTCCCAAAATGACCACAAGGTGGCAGTCAGTAATAAGTTTCCGCTCAGAGCTGTTCCCCACCTGCCCCCAAACCAGATCCACAGGGAACTAATTTAAGATTTAGGGAGCCTGAAACTGATGACCAGGAGCTAATAGAGTGTATTTCTGCCCTGGTCTCAGGCATGATTTTCTTCTTAGTACCAGAAAACAAAAAATAAATCTGAGCAGATTTCTGGGTTCTGATTCCCCCACCCTATTTGGGGTGGTTGGAGTGGGAAGGTGGGGAACTGAGAAGACCTATGTCTTGGGGAGGAGCACAGAAGCAGAGTTCGGAGAATCAGCTCCACCACCAGTTACTTGATACAGGAACGTTTAAAACCCTCAAATATGGAGCTGTGTCCCCTCTCTACCAAGAAGCACTGTTGCCTCGGCTTCTACATTCTGCCTCCCCCATTCTCTCTAGGCAAGCCTGCACCCCAACACTGTCAAGATGACCGCCCCACTGCCCATCTCCTAATTGGCTCTCCGCCTTCACTTACCTGTCCTCTCAGTGGCTTTTGGCTGGCTGACCCTGCTCTCTCCTGAGAACAGATTTCTCTCTTGGTCCATGGGACACCAGGACGGCGCTGTCTCCATGCTCATTCTCCTCCCTGACCTCCTCATCTTCCTGACCCCCAAACCCCGAGTGCTCCAGGCTCAGTCTTTGGTCCTGTCTTCCTCTTGGTCTCTCCCGCTCCCTGCCCACCTCAACCAGGCCGTCACTGAGAAGCCCCCTCTATGTCTCCAGCCCCAGCCTCTCCCCTGAGCTCCGCAGGTGTTTATGGAGTTGCTTCCTGGGGGAGTAGACCACCTTTAGCATCGCTCCCCACTCTCCTCACTCCCTGAACGTGGCTGGAACAGGAGATCCTCTAATGACAAAGAGAACACAGCAAAAGGGATGGAGGTCACTGCCAAGATCAGGTCACAAAAGGTGATGAGTGCTGCTCCCTAAGGAAAGCCAGCTCCCGTGTTGGAAGGATCCCCGAGGAGAGGCTCAGGGGACTGAACTGAAGACAGCAGCCCACAAGGCACTGAACCCTACCCACAGCCCCCCAGTGAGCCTGGAAGCAGATCCTCCTCCTCCAGTCAAGTCCCGAGGTAACTTTGACCCCAGCTGACATCTCGGCCACAAGGGAGAGAGCCTGAGTCACGCAGGTCTGTCCAAGGCCACTCTTGTTCCTGCCACAGAAGGAACAATTCTCCACCTAGCCACCAGAGGGAGACTGTTGAGACCTAAGTCACACCAGGTCCGGCCTCTGTTCATTCACCAGAGTGCCCACAGCTCAGCATAAAAACGGCCCCGTTCTTGCCATGTCACCCGAGGTACTAAGTAACCCAGTTCCCTGCCGTGCCTCCGATCTCTGTCGTCCTTCCTTCTGCTCAGCCACACTGGCCTCACACACCCAGCACATTCCAGTCTTGGGGCCCTTGCACTGGCTGTTCCTTCAGCCTAGAATATTCTTGCTCCAGATACTCACTGGCTTCCTTCAGGTCTCACTCCAAAGTCCTCTTAGCAGACCTGCCTCCTGCTGACCTCCGTGAGCCAGCCTCTGCCTGCCCCTTCCCATTCCTCTCTGACCCACTTGTCCTGCTTTTTATTATTACTTTTTTATTTTATTTATTTATTTTTTTAAAAGAGAGGGGGACAGAGAGAATATATATATATATATATATA